GAAATGCTTTTGCAATTTGGAGCACAACATTGACGTTTAGTTCTACCAGGTAAACTCATTTTGGATTAAAAAAACGAATAAAAAACAGTAAGGCAGTTCAGACGATTGATTCAATAAATCCCTTATTATGTTAATCTAAAACAAAACAAATTTATTAATGTATATAAAACGCGGCAACCTACCTGAAGTCCTGAAGATAAACTATAACCTCAAACCTCAAACATTCTATTCTACTCTACGTTGATTGAAATATTTCAGTCAACGCATTCTATTTCTGTTGATTGAAAGCTTGGAAATACAGATTTGATCTGTGGTTGCAGATTTCTGTTTAACAATTTCCATAAAGGACAATGTTTTGCTGCAACAACGTGAGATGGCCTCAGTGAATGCATGTTCGATCCGCCCTATCCAATAAAAGCCTCTTATTTAGTTACTCTTATGTGTGGACAGATATTTGGATACGTTGGATTCGATGAGTACGGCGGTGACGAATGCACGCCAATGAATTCCAACGATTTCCAAGGCAACCGTTGGCGTTGAAAGGGATGTTTGTTTTGATGTGGACAAGATTTTAAACGTTTTCAGTCGTTGGCAAGCATTCCCTGGTGTCGGACAAATTATTGTTTATCTTTTCGTTATTCGATATGAATGGAACAATGATTTGTGTTTCAAATTACTTCAACTATTCGGAGATAATCCTATATTATGGGGTCCTAGCAATATAAATTATAAACTCTCCAAAAAGAAGAAGATTTTATATTAATCCGGGCCAAGTAGACCAAACACATGCCTGTTTCAAAAGTCGGGCTTACCTCGAATTTTATGGGCTTAAAATTAACTTTTGTTTTTAAATACGTAAAAAGATCTTCTTACTTTTCAAAATATCGAAAGCACAATGAAATTACAAAAGAAAACGTAAAAAGTCAAAAAAATGTGCTTTTCGAGATCTGGCGACGACTTTCAGAGACTTTTGCTTACACTATTTCAAAGAGCGGAAAAAATAAATTGACTTAAAAAAAGTATCCCAGTAGCTGCTTCTAAGTCCTATAATCCATTTGTTAAGTAAAAATCGTGAGAAGTGAGCGCAGCATGGGCACTATGACGTCACAGCGTTCCCCTCTCCTGGCTACCGCTCAGCTGCGTGGGTCGCTGTGCGGACTACTCTGTCTTTAAGGGCCCCATATTCTTTAAATAGTGTTTCCGCAAAGACAAATAATTTCAAACATTTAATAACTGAATAATCTAAAGCTTATCAAATAATAGGAATGTTATGTCATGCCACCTGAGTATTTTCAAAGATGCCGCAGTAAAACGAATAAACAGGCGCAAAAAACGATCAAACCATCAAGGTTTTAGGTACTGAAATCTACGAAAATACTAACTTTTTTATATATAATTACACATATAAATATTCTTATAACATTTACTTGCTGAGTCCTACATATAAAATTGTTTACTTTTATTTTATAAGTTTTATAAGTACGTGAAAATAATTCTTAAAATGTGGGGTTAGAATAATAGCAAACGCATGTTTTACAAACGCTTTTTTTTAGTTATTATTTTATTTGAGTAAATTTATATAGTAACAATGAATAAACAAAACATCAAGGATTTTATTTTTGTGCTTACTTTTGTTCTACACGTTTTACTTTTAAAGATTTCAGTACCTAAAAACGCCAGAAATTTCAGTATTTCTCGGCCAGGAATATGGCCACCTTAATGCACGTTTACTTGGTAATTTCTTGGTCGAATCTATTAAAAAAAAAATCAACATATAAAGGAAGTCTTCTGCTTTACAACGAGCCCAAGTTTATTACAAAATATTAAACAGAACAGCCAGAATACCGTTTTTAAGAAAAAAAATATCTCTGCGCCTATTGGTCGGATCGAGACGTTTTTTTTTAAATTCATGTTTTTTAAGCACTATTAATTGATGTAATTGGTCGAGCTAACGACCCTAGTTACCGTTTATTTTGTTTTTTTGTTAATAACTTTTTTATTTTTCAACTTAAAAATCTGAAATTTACACAAACGCGAGACAATGTAAATACCTTTCGATTCTTTTTTACCCAATTTCGATCCTACTTTGATTTGGGCAGAAGATATATGCGCTCGCGTTTTCGACTTAATAATTCTGCAATAGGCCGCCATTTTGAAATTGGGGGTCCGGATTGCGGGTATTTGTTGAGCACCTTCGACCTCTACAAATACACAAATTTAGGCTTTTATTCTGTGTAGTTTTTACTTAATTTTAAGGCCATACAATTCGAGGTAGGCCTGATTTTTGAAAAAAAACCTAATTCGCCCAGACTATATGGTGTTATTATTATCTACCAACGTTCTTCTTTTTGTTTTGAACTAAAAATCCGGCACTTGCACATAATAACTTACATAACGAAACGATTAATTCAAATACCTTGCCGCGCAAAATGACCGAATAACACACGGTTTCCTATTCAAAACTAAATCCGGTGTGGACTACAATATAAAAATCATTTCCAATGGTTTCCAATCCCAATGCCAACGAATACATTCGGTCGAGTTGGCGTTGGTTTGCATTGAAACTTGGTCTGTACGCGGCTTAAGACACAAGCGTTTTAGGGTGCTACAATAAAGAAAAATTAAGTGTACAGGATCAGTCAAAAAGTTGTGACAAAACATAGTTGCTCTTTTTTAATGGAACAACCTGTATATTATTCAATATTTCAATTCTTCTTGAAATTTTAAGCAAAATTCATATAGTTCATCATGTACCTAAACTTAACCGTTCGAGATATCGAACTTTGAAAATCATTTTGTTATAAATTAAACAAAAATATTTTAGTGCATTAAGTTCACAGTCCATCATGTTACCTTTGAAAGTTTCTAGCTTCATATCAACGCCTTGTCGTTCTTTTGTCTAATACTGATTATCTTGACAATACATGTCATAAATACATTTAGTGTAATTTTCTCGCAAAAATAGCACGTTTAAGTGAAAACGCTCAGTTTGAAGATTTGATGATATACAGTGTAGGAAAGTACCGATGGTCTATCAGAAGTTACGTGAGAGCGATAACGTAAGTCATACAAATCCATGTGATAGACAAGGATGGCTATAATGAAGGCGTCTAATAGTCAACGCCCATTTCGCCCTTCCACAAATAAGAAGTGAATCTTATTTGTGGAAGGGCGGAACGGGCGGTGACTATGAGAGGCCTTTATTATAGCCATCCTTCTCTATCGCATGGATTTCTATGGCTTACTTTATCGCTCTCACTTAACTTCAGATAGACCATCGGTACTTTCCTACCCTGTAGGTATATGGTGATAGAAGTGCATGGAACACCAGTAAACGATACAAATAAAGAAAATGATGAGTCGATATTCCATTCAAAAAATTCGTAATTGGGAAAATAATCACCATTAAACAAAAGAACGGCGCGACGTTGTCGTGGAGAGAAACTTTCAAAGATATCTTGATGGACTGTAAACATAATGGAATAAAATATTCTGGTATAATTTATCAGAAAATGATTTTCAAAGTTCGATGTCTTGAAAACGGAAAAGTTTAGATGTGATATATGAATCTTGTTTAGAATTTATGGAAGAATTAAAATAAGGAATAATATACAGGATGTTCCATTAAAAATAGCAACTTTGTTTGGTCTTGACTTTTTGACTGATCCATTATACTTAATTTTTCTTTATTGTAATAGATTTTAAAAAAACCTAAAACGTTTGTGTCTTATGATTTTTCTATAGCTATCTATCTTACTTTAAGAGATAATCGACCGTTTCCATACATATCGGCGACCCTGTAGATATATAAACTAAAGATATAGTCTGTGTCTATAATTATTTATTTGTCACACACGTATAAGAACGAAGTATTGCAGAAAAATTCTAGTAAACTTTCATCAAACTTTATTCTTTGTTGTCGTTCTGCTGTCAGTACATTAGGAACCAAATATAACCTTCAAATACAACATTATTTATTTATTTATTTATTTTTTAATAAGAACCTATCCGTGTGCTGTGCCGTTTTCCTTAAAAAAATATAAACCTCTGACCACGGATGTCGCTATTTGAAACAAAAATTATTTGATAGTACTTGCTAACATTTAGCGCATATAAACTTGATGCCATAATGAAAACACCATACATACCCAAGAGAACTATTATGTTTGTTTCTGCAGGAGTCTCAAACTGTTTTCAAACTATCAGATATACTCGACCACTTAAGTTGTTACATAATTGTGTATAAGTGTATACGTTCACGAATCGATTGGCCAAATATGTCTGATAGTTTCAAATCAATCCTCAACTGCTGCAGAAACAGACCTATTATAGACTGAAATCTTGAGGAGTGGGGGAATGCACACTTGATCAAACGACTGCAACGCTGAAACATTTTTAGGATGAATAGTTCTCTTGGGTATGTTACCATAAATATAAAATCGAGATGGTGTCATATTACCTGGAGCAGGCAAAGTTCGAATCACTACAGGTTGTGCGTTTTTTGACAATCCCTTGCCATTTATTGAGTAAATAGTTACAGCGTATTCTTGGGAGGGTTCCAAATTGGGTATGTAAAATTCGGGAGAAGATGCTGAAGACATGTTGGCAATTGTCGCTTCTCCAGAATTCAGCACCAATACGAATTTCTGTCGCAGACCTTCAAAAAATAATTCATGCTCGTTTTATTACTAATAATTTGTGATTTTCTTACAGTTTGTTAGTGATAATTTGTTATAAATGTTTTTTTTTGATACGCATGCGTTTACTGATGTTAAATAACATTGATTCTAAGTATCCGCGTTTTTTCAAGTGTAGCCCCCTTCCGCACAGCCTTTGGCTTTGGATTTGAGGGTTGTCTCATTTCTGTGGTGTGTTTTATGTTATCTCTAATAATTGGCATAATTACACCAAAATGTTAAAGGTATGTATAGACTAGGCGGTATCTGTTTTGGTTTGGGTGAATCGTATATCCACGGAGATTTTTGGCTTTTTGGCTTTCAAATATCACTAGAAATGAAAATTTTTCTATGCGCATAAAAAAAAACGTGGGCTTAACTTTTGACGGCACAATATGTTAAAAAAATTGGAAAAATGTCATATTTTTCTTCCTATTTAATTATGTATCTTTTTAAGAGTTGATTTTAGGCGAAAATGGAAGAGGAAAAAAATGTTTGTAATTAAATTTTTTACAATACATGACTGGTTACAAATCGAATGAATCATGATTATTATGGTAAAAATCGAAAAAATCACAAAAATGGGGTTAAAAAACAATACTTTTTAGGGAATTTTTTTGGTGTATTTAAATTGGGTGTAGGACCTTTATACTTGGCTCAAGAAAACTTCATGTTATGTAGAATCATCACACCAAATTTCATCAAAATCGGTTCGATAGATTTTGCATAATAATTTTGCAATCCAGATTTTGAAAAAAAAATTGCAAATTTTCAAAATTTTGCACAGCAAAAACCAAGGCCCTTAGATACTTGAAAATTTAATCACATATAGAAGGGCTCTCAAGCTTTCAAACTTTTTTTGAAAAATTCGAATCCGTCAATTAGGAGAGCTCTGGCGCTTGTTTAAACATTGGTCGAATTTTTGTACTTATAAACAATTAGAACTTTGTGAATATTCAATCAAATCAAATTTTTTAAAGCAGGTTTTAAAAGTTCTTGGAAAGACGCTTCTTTAAAAAAAAATAAGAAAAATTCACAAATAATTCTTTCCGGTGTCACCAGATTTCTGCAGTAGCTACTAAAACGATATTTTTCAATTGATTGATAATTGATCAATCGATTTTTTTTTTTTTTAAAGAAGCGTCTTTCCAAGAACTTTTAAAACCTGCTTTAAAAAATTTGATTTGATTGAATATTCACAAAGTTCTAATTGTTTATAAGTACAAAAATTCGACCAATGTTTAAACAAGCGCCAGAGCTCTCCTAATTGACGGATTCGGATTTTTCAAAAAAAGTTTGAAAGATTGAGAGCCCTTCCATATGTGATTAAATTTTCAAGTATCTAAGGGCCTTGGTTTTTGCTGTGCAAAAATTTAAAAATTTACAATTTGTATTTCAAAATCTGGATTGCAAAATTATTATGCAAAATTTATCGAATCGATTTTGAAGAAATTTGGTGTGATAATTCTAGATAACATGAAGTTTTTTTGAACCAAGTATAAAGGTCCTATACCCAATTGAATTACCCCAAAAAAATTCCCTAAAAAGTATTGTTTTTAACCCCATTTTTGCGATTTTTCCGATTTTTACCATAATAAACATGATTCATTCCATTTGTAACTAGACATGTTTTGTAAAATAGATTTAATTGCAAACATTTTTTTCCGCTTCCATTTTCGCCTAAAATCAACTGTTGAAAAGATACATAATTAAATAGGAAGAAAAATATGACATTTTTCGAATTTTTTTAACATATTGTGCCGCCAAAAGTTAAGCCCACGTTTTTTTTTATGCGCATAGAAAAATTTTCATTTCTAGTGATATTTCAAAGCCAAAAAAGCAAAAATCTGTGGATATACGATTCACCCAAATATGGCTTTTTGAAACAGATACCGTCTGGACTAGTATTAATATAGACAAAATACTTGAAATTATTTTTTATATCAGGGTTCTTAAAAATCTTTGACGTTTTATATCTGTAATATGCCTACATTACAAAAACAAATAAAATGTATAATTGGGGTATATATTTTTGGCAGATATTTTCACATTATCATGTTACCAAACTAATTTTGACTTATTAAGAGCAATGGCATAATCTACATAATTGGAAGATGGCCAAAGACCTCGAGGTCGTTGAAGATGGCCCTCTTATGTAAGAAATAAGGCCAAAAATGCTTGAAATGAATTGCAAATAGTTTTAAAATATTTTTATCACACTATATAATTACATTTTTTATAATATAATTATAGGAGTTTACCTATCTAGTTAAATTTTTGGAGATCAGAAGCTAACTTAAATTATTGTTATAAGAAATATTTCCTCCCTTAAAAACTATATATCGACCTATTTCACCCAGGCTGCATTTGTTTAAATACGATTTCTAAATTGCACAATTTAGAAACGCTGTTCTCTGTTTATTACATATACCTGGTGAGTGGTAGAGCGTCTCTGCAGGCTGAAATTGATGCACAATCCGCGTTATAATTTCATTTCATCTTAATTAGCTGGTTTATATAAACTGTGCTTTTATCTCAGATTTACTTAATTCAAAAACTTTTTTTACCACTACATGTGCTTACGAAAGTATACAAACACGATATATAATAAGCCATACACATATTTATAATAATATTAAATGTATAAACTTATAAATTCATAATAAATCAACAAAACTCAAGAAGAGAACAAACAATAAACTTTCTGCAAAAACACAATCAATAATTATGTTACCAGTAAAAAAACTCAAAATTTAATGGTAAAGTTTAATGCAAACAAATGTTAGAATGAGCTTAAAAATATGTATACTCCACGGTCAAAATTATAGAGAGTGATTCATCGCTAGCTTTTGGACTAGTAGGGGGGATGAAGCGTGCTGGGAACGAAAATCCATTGGCCTGTGTGCGTAAAAGGCAACAAGATATAGAAAATAATGAAAAAAGATAATAAAACATAACATCTAATATTTTTTACGGTTTGCTATAACAGGCACTTTGATCCATTTTAATTGTTACAGCATTACCCAATTGTGTTTTTTTAATTTATAAATTTTTTATAGCCATGGAATTAGACCCCTCGTCTACGCTTATGCTATGACGTTTCTCAGGACGGGTTAAATCAAGTCCGTTTACACCCACTAAAAAAGCATTTCCCTATTCCCTACCAAGTGCAAAAGACAGAGATAGAATATAGATCGACGTTCAGTGTAACTCGGTCTCTAGACGATTATAGATTCTATCGATGTGCGTAGCGAGCGGCACAAAGATAAATAATATTGAACCGTATAAAAATCATTTTATATTTTATACGCATTATGGTAATAGCTTTTTTATATTATGTCTTAGTCACTCTTTATAATTTCGACCTCCGAGTATAGGAGATTATACTCGTAGGTTAAAAAAGAAATGTTTTAGTTTTAATTTTAAAATGTACAGATAATATTCAGGACAATCAGTAATTTTATAAATTTTTTTGGGCCCAACATAACGTTGGTGGAGCCTTATAAATTAAATATACTTAGTTGCTTCATTAGTTATTTACAGGGTGTTTAGGTCTTTGAAAAGTTTCGCAAATATCTCGAAAGAAGTTTGACAAAGATTAATGAATCTGGGTTGGTCATTTAAGTAAATGAAGTTTCACTTAATTTACAGATAAATTATATTAACAGTAGCCCTACAGGACTACTAGGTCCAGTAGTAGATAAGAATACCGACGCCACTGTGTATTTTGGAAGTTTATTAAAGCTATTTAAAAATAAGGCTATTCCATGCGTTATTTGAATATTTGGAATTTCTCTTCGTATCAATAACAGCAATTACTGGAAGAAAAAACACGAGGTTTACCTCTTTTAGGGGGTGGTTTCGGGAGTAGCGTGGATAAATATATCTTTAGGTTTAAATTTATCAGGGAAATGATGAAAGCCCCCGTATTCAAAGCAGCGCTGGAGTTCAATGGTATCAAAGACCGTGCGGTAATCATATTCCATAAATAATTTGCCCTCGTTCATATTTCTCAGGATTGCCCTTAATTTTAATTCCGGGATGTAACAGAGGAATTTTACCTCATATTTATCAGAGAACATGTTACGAATAATATTCGTTACGTCAATAAATAATTAATCGTTAAACTTGATGGTAGAACAGCTAAGAATACGCTGATATTGATGAAACATTAAAGGCGTTCTAAACTGTTTAAATAAACACTATTTAAGAAATAAAAGGTGTAAGTTTCAATTAAATGTTCTAGTATATCTTAAAATTTATAGAAGACAGAATATAGGAAGCATAAGATATTGTAAAATGTTTTGGAAACTGTAGAAGATTGAACTATTACTTCCCAAGTCAAAAAATGTCTAAAAAGGCAGTTGAGAGAGATAATACAGGGTGTCCCGCAAAGTATGTTACAAACTTTGGGTGGTGATAGTATATAAAAAAATATGACTAAAAACTCTAATAAACATAACCTCTTAAACGCACTGTTTTGAAGTTATAGGCTTTAAAAGGTGCAACTACAAAAGTAGTTTTTGTGACGTAACTCTTTGTTGGAAAAAGAAAACTTAATGAAATTTTCAGGGGCTAATCAGCTTTAGAAAATCAATAAATAATGCGGATATGAAAATTTTTCTGCAAAGGTACAGCAAGTATCATAAGATTTTTAGAAAGACCATTAAATTTAGAAATTTTGTTGTCACTTGTGTTTTTTATGTAAAATGTTTAGTTTTCTAGTAAATTTACAAAATGCAGAGAGATGAGTGCTTCCGAATTATTTACATACATTTCTTAAGCCTAGTGAATTTTTAAGAATACAATCAATTCCCAAAATAATTTTTTTAATTAAGTAACCAAAACAGAACTAAAACAAAATATGTTATTATAATAAATGTTGAAATTGACCTCCTTCTGCATCGATACATGCTGTCAGTCTCTTTATAAAGTTAAATCTGACTCTTTGGAATATGAATAGACTATTTCTTATTAAATT